CTATTCTAAATCATTATTATCTCTTGCCATAAATTTCTAACTGATCTTCTTGTACCTACTTTGGCCTTTTGTAGTCCATCTTCCTCAGAGTAGACAAGATGATTTTTTTTTAAAGTATGAGTCATATCAGAGTGCCCCTGATTAAATACAATGGTTTCTCAATACTTTTTCACTGTACTTATAATAAAACCCTGCAATTCACCAAACGCCTGGCCCTCTCAGGATCCTGTCACAGAAAAACAGAAAACCTTTAATCAGCTCTACTTACCACCTCATTGTTAAAACTCACTACTTAATTATCAATGTCTTTTCTCTCCATAAGACTGAGGAGAAAAACTCCCCACGTGAATATTTGCCATATTCACAGACATCTCAAAACTGACTCCCTATATTGCACAAACCACTATCCCACCCTATATGCAGGTCCCCCCCTCCACACACACACCCCCATCTCAGCACACTAATCACTGACTCTCAGACACTGCTAATTACACTTCCACTAATGTTACTAACAGGGACCCTCCAAGGCCCCATCTCTGATCCTCCCCAACTCAGCACGGCTCCGTTTAACAGTGCCAGTCTCCAGCCACCACAGTACCCATAATCGCTGGTGCCCACCGACATTCCAAACCACTAAGCCTCCTAGACCTTCCCAGCCTCTGACACATCGCGAAGCGCCACTTCTGGTCTCCGAGCGTTCCCAATTCTGACCTGTCAGTGCCTCCGCCATCTCTATCTGCGCAGTTCCCTCAAAACACTGGTTTCCTACAAGTGGCAATCAATCTCTGACTCCGTACACCCCTACCAGCCCCGACCCAGATCCCTCAGAACACTGAGCTCCCTACAGACTCCCCCGGCTTCAGCCCCAGCAATTCCCAAGTCTTGCCTTCACAAACCGCAGACACCTGCCAATCATCGACCACCTCTGAGACACATACTAGCCCCCGACCCATTACCGCCCTCACCCCGCCGCTGCATTTGGGTTCAGACGCAGCCATCTCGGCCTCATTAGCCGTTCCCGCACTCTTCTGGTCCACGGTCTCTGGCTTTGTCAGGATCCCCTCGCGACGGGAGGCAGACATGGCGCCCACCCCTAACGCAGCCTCAGCGGGTCCGCAACTGCAATGGCGGCGCCCATAGTGCCTTGTAGGAGCGGCCATCTTGGGAAGATTCCGCCGTACACCCGGCGCGCGGGGAGCTCAGGGAGCGGCTCCCGGGCCGAGCGTCCTGCAGAAGGGAGACACTAGCCCGCGGAAACTGTTCAGTTCCTGCAGAAAGGCGCTGTGTCTGCCCTCGGCCTTGGCGCTCAGATGTGTCACCTTAGTAATTCTATTTAAAGAATCTAGAGTTGCTTTTCTTAATAAGTCAGTACAGCGGGAAAACTCCGGAATCTCTGTACCTAGTGTGGACTTCATAGAGCTATGATAAAAGAAAAGCCAGGAGTG